TATTAATAGAAATATTATTTTAGTACACACTGCTGTCAGATCACCATTTTAATAATTGCTATCAAAAGATATATTTTCTTCATGTGAAGTTTATTTTTTTATATATTCTGATGTGTTATATCATTTCATATTCATGTTAATTTTCATTTTTATAGAGTTTAAATAAAAAATGGAATTCAAGTAAAAGTAATCCAAAAGGAAACTTAAAAAGTAATAATATAAGGTAGATAACTCATATAATTTAATTTTCAGTCTAATATATCAATACATAAACAGTAATAACACAGTACTTCTATAGCATGCGTTTGCTCTAACAAAGTTACAGAATTGTAGTAGTTTTTGCATAGCACATTACCTATATAACATGATTAGAGAGTTGAAAATATAACTATCAAAAACATGCAAGAATTACTGATAGAAAAAGAGACTGAGTTTATTTTGCTGGAAATTGCATCAAAGGTAAATCAAATTAATTTAAAGAACGACAGAATAGATAAAAATTTCAAAGTTCCAAATTTTACATTAAAAAACATTAGGTAAGGTATAAACTTAGCTGAACAATTATAATCTTATTTTTTGCATGCATATCCTTTGACTGAAGAGAGCACAAATTTCAAAAGTGGGTGTCAAAAACTTATTCCTATGAAATTTAAAAGATTATCAGGCAAAAGCAAACAACTCCACTAAAACCTGATACTACTATGCATATGTAGCTAGAACTATTTCTAAGATTAACAGCACCAAACCTTTCTCACTAATTTCTAGCCTTATTAACAAGAGTACAAACGTTTTCGGCCTTCTTAATAGGCCTTCCTCGGGTACACTGTGGAGCGTCGGTTAGAAGAAGTTTAAATGCTGCCAATGTTTACCCAGGTATCATCTTACCAGTGACGTNGGAGGCCAGTTCCCCATAAAAGTCCTCCCGGAAGGCATTAGTTCCCCTCGCGTAACATCGCGCCCCAGAGAAGGCAACGGGAAACCACTCTGGGTAGTAACTTTCCCTAGTATACACCTTGGCGGATTACAAACCTACGCCAGGTGTCGCCGACGTCAGGAATCTGATATGGCACCAAGAAGAAGAAGAAGAAGTTCTGTTTTTAATTTTTTCTATGTACATTTTAAAGATGTTAAATTTCATAGTTTTTGGAACATTGGTTTTGTAATTTAATACTTTTGGTACTTGCATAGGTTTTATAAATTTTCTGAATTCCAAATTATTGTCATTTCTATTAATGGTTATATCTAAATAATTTAGACTATTATTACATTCTATTTCAGCTTCAAATTGTATGTTTGTTTCTATTAAATTTTCCTGTTTTAAAATTTCATCTTCCCTAGTCTTTCTACTATCAAATAAAATAATACAATCATCTACACACCTATTATAAAATATTATTCCTTTTATATCTTTAATTTTTTTATCTATGTCTATCATAAATATTTTGGCAAGTCTTGGGCCTATGCATGTTCCCATTGGTATACCTTCTGTTTGACTATAAAAGTTATCACCATACTTAAAATGATTGTTTTCTATTACTAACAAACACAATTTAATAATCCAATTTGGTGCCTTAATTTTGTGTAAAGTTTTAAAATTGTAATTTATTGTTTAAAGGAAAAATTTTTTTAAATTATACAGTAACTTATCTGTTTGTTGTTGTTACTTTTAGTGTTAAGTGGTAATACCGCTGATGAGGGGCATGCTAGCCCGAAACACATATAATATGTGTACAGAAATTATTACTACAGGTGATATAATAAAGAAATTTTGTTCTCTCCTGAACTAACTCTCAGTACTGTGCCGATCTTTACACACCAGTATAAAGTCCTATTAATAAGTAAAGTCCAAGTAGACAATTAACAATAAAATATTAAAATTTAAGGACAATTTTAATGTCTTGTTCAATGTAAGGCTTTTACAATTAATTAATTTCTATTTATTAGAAACAGACTAATTTTTCCAAGAACTTACTGACAGTATTGAAATCAGCAATAGAGTCTTTCATTATGTCCTATTTGCAGACGATCTGGTAATTTTAGCTCCTACAAATATCTCCTTGTAAAGAAAAATCAACCAGTTAAACTTATACTTCAAATGGATACATCTAACAATAAATCACAGAAAAAGGAAAGTTATCATTTTTTGCAACAACAGTAAAACTTTGGAAAAAAGAATCTATGATATATCTTGATAAAAATCTTCTGCAAATAGTAAATGAAGTAAACTTCCTGGGAGTAACATTTGACTGGAATCTTACATTTAAAGCACACATCTCCAGTTTAAACAACAAAGAAAAATCAGCGATCGACAATTTAATTAAACTTATTTGCTGTTTTTGTGTTCTACTTTAAAAATTTCAAACTTGTTTATTCACTTGAAACTTTATAATTTGATAATCAACCCAATCATCTACTATGAGAGTTCAATCTGGGGCATAGACTATCTATACAAATTAGAAAGCTTTCATATATACTTCCTCCACAACTTCTTCTCTTGGAGAGAACTGTCCCCAGTTACGCCATATGCCACGAACCTAATCACACCTGGTCTTATCCTTTCTTCTTAAAATAAATAATTAAATTTTATTATCGACTAAAATTCAAAAATGATGACAACATTACCTTTTTACACCTGGAAATAATTAAATACAGTAGACCCCCCTATAACGCGAAGATATGTTCCTCATTATACGAATTTTGCATTGTTGGAATCCTTGGGCTGTGATTGGCTCACGTATTTGACACGTGTGAAGTTTACGGACTACAGCTGTTTGAAAGGTTTTCTTCCATAAAATTAATCGATTCTACACTAATTTGACTTAACATTTCCAAAATACATATATTTTTTTTGGAAATAATCTGTATAAACTACGCTATAAACAAAAAATTGTAGGATTAGTTACCGAGTGTGCACCATTCGACATCGCCATTGCTCAAGCTTGTTTTCGTCACGGAACAGCTCAGCAAACCGCGGCCACAATTTCTGATGTTATTTTTCTGCGAAAACTTCGCTGAACTTTGGAGACATCATTAATATAAATAATTTTAATCGCCGTTGAATAAGAAATGTTTCTTTCACAAGAAATGTATAAAATTACAGTGCCGTATTAGACTTACGGTACCTAATTTACATACTGTACAGACGATAGTTCACCTAAACTCTCCGTAGCGTGGCGCCAGGCAGCAGAAAGAATATATATAATTATAATAAAGTTACAATAAATTAAGTTAATATATAATTATATATACAGTACCTAATTTATATATAATTAATATATAATTATATGTACAGTACCTAATTTATATATAATTTATATATAATACTGTACAGACAATAGTTAAACTCAACTTACCCACCTAAACTCTCCGTAGCGTGGCGCTAGACGGCGGAAAATAGTTTGGCTGCTCGTCCGCAATGACGTTTTACCGCGTTTTACGCGCCCCGTTATACGAATACTGCCGCAATTTTTTCACCGTGTCATTTTTTCACCGTGTCATGACACGGTGAAAAAATACGTTATTGGAACCCACATTATAGAGGGGTCTACTGTATAGTAAAAAACCAAAATCAGAGCATCTCTGGCAAAATAAATTCAACAAAATACTAAATTAATTTGGAGTGTCAGATCTGCTATTTAATGATAATCTTCAGGACTGGAAATACAGCTACACATTGTTACCAGAATCTGCAATTTCTCAATCCATAAATAAAGACCAAGTCAGTCTAACTTGTAAGTTGAAGTAATTACCATCCTTGTTATATACATACCCTAAAAATAACATCCTCCCAACCATACATGAATAAACCAATAAATCTTAGTGTAAAAAGATTAGTAGCCCATCTACATCTCAACAAATATTTACTTTTCATTAACAATATTTATATCAACTTTTCAAATAACCAATGCTTCTGGTGCAAATCCGATGGCTTCTCGATGCAACATCTACTACAGAATTGTCAAGGCCTTGCAAGGCTTTGACAATTCTGTAGTAGATGTTCATGTAGTAGATCATCTCTCGATTTTAGAAATAATTTAAATAACCTTAATAAAAAACACCTTTATAATCTATACAACTATTTCATCAATTCTGTATGAAATAGTAGATTGCAAATACATCAGACTCATATAATATCACACACATTCTTCAATATAGTCCATCTCTCGATTTTAGAAATAATTTAAATAACATTAATAAAAAACACCTTTATAATCTATACAACTATTTCATCAAAATTGTAGAAATAATAAATAACTAAAAAAACTTACTCAATATATTTCAATAATGTATAAAAGTCAATTGTCTCTGTATTGCCATTTCTGACAAAACTGTATTCTTTGTTTATGCTATAACAGGATTATATGGTACCTACAGTAATTATGTGTACAAATTTGATAACTTGTAAGCTGTTCCAGTACCTTTGTAAATTTTTACTTAAAATATGTATTACCCCCTGCAACAGGGAAACTCCCTTTCTGCTAATAAAGTTTAATTGATTGATAAATTTAAACTTTTGTAACAGGTTAATTTATTAATGAACAATAAATAAATAAACAAATAATATTTTCTACATTTTCAAAGCAATACAGCTATGAATTAATACCAGGATAAATTATTGTTATATAATAAAACATTTTATTTAATTTTCAATTGTTCATCAATTCTAAAAAAATACTTTTCCAATTACCAATTTTAAGCAATTAAAAATTTTAGTTTGAAAAACTGATCCTCTAAAAATTGAATACAATAATTCATTAGAAAGAGTAACAGTTAAACACTCCCAAGTCCCAAGAGAGATTACAGTTAAAAACTCCCAAATACAGTAGATTAAATTATAGAAAATGATTATTACTTTATTCATTTTTAAAAATTATTTTGCATATTTTTTTGTACACAACATTAAAAAATCATAATCTTTCAAATGAGTATCTAAGAATAAGATCATCCAGGTACCCAAGTACCAAATTATTTGGATAACGGTGAATCTAAAATTCAAGTATTCAAGTACTCTGGTACAAAATTCAACATTCAGCACTACCTTCATCATAGTAATACTACAAATGAAACCTAACTAATAATAATTGTTTTAAAAATTGTCTAGAAGTTATTAATGACTGTTATAAATGACTTTATTGATTCTTTTTGGATATTATTTTATGTATATACAATAATTTTATACAAAATATTAAAAATATATTACATATACCTTTACATTCCAATTTAATTTCAGAACTCTGTAATTGCTTCTTTCTGTTTTTCAGAAATTCCACAACATTAGGATCTAAAATACATAATTAATTAGCTGATATATAAATAATTTTATAAATTATCATCATCATCTTTATCAAAATTATTCTATCATCATCTTAATCCTTTATATATTATCTTTGAGTTTCCACAATGAATACATTAGTCAGAAACTTCGACATTAACAGTGAATGTCAATTATTATTTGTGTATTTTTAAATAAGTGTATTTGTTGTTTGTTACACATATCAGGAGAACTTTTTCATAAAAGTTACATCATTCATAAAATCAAAGTGTAAAGAGAAGTTGAAAATATATTGGAATTGTAGGCTCTCTTCCTATGTCACTTCCTATTTCATTTAGTTGACAAATAAAAGTTTGTTTCTATAGGCAATATCATTGCACAAAACTTGTATCATCATATGCTTTGAAAAGGTTTAAAAATCCCTCACATAATGATAAGGCACAGTCATTATTTCATACCACTTAATCCTAATGACAGTATATTGTCTTTCAACTACAGGCATACCTCGACTTACGTTGTTTCGAGTTACGTCTACGTCGCTTGTTAAAAAAGTATATGGAAAAATAAAAATCAAGTTTAAGTCATTTTATTCGACTTTACGTCTGTCCGCCACAAATATTGAAGTCGTAATATCACTAGATAAACGTTTAAAGCACATAAAATCATATTAAAATATAAACAAGTATGTACTGTATTTACAGTACACGCATTCGTAAATTTAGATTATTTTTTTTGTACTATATTAAAAACTAAAATTTATTTGTTTGTAAGCTTAAAATAGATTTTTATTAACCATATATTATTTAAAATGCTTTCCTAGTGATAAGTAGATTCGGAGACAGGTAAATTCGACTTACGTCGTTTTTCGACTTACGTCGTTTTCCTGGAACCAATTACCGACGTAAGGCGAGGTATACCTGTATATGCATTTTTACTATCTTTTTAACTACTACATTACAATAAAATAAAGAAATAGATAGAAAAATAAACATAAAATGCAAAAACCAAGATACTTGCATTTATCTGTTCATAACCAATGAGTCACTAGCATTTCATTAGCCTCAAACAAGAAAAGTATCTCTTGTTTGAGGCTAATGAAAACAGCTGCTCTTCTACTGTCACTCTTCTATGAAATATTGTACACATGAGCCCTAGTTCCAGCTCACTGATGAGACATGTGATAATCTTATGATGTGTTTTACATCATAAAGTCACAACTCTGACTCAAAAATTAAGAAACTTTATATCAGGCCTAGCCAACGCCAACGATATAAAGTTGGCCAATACCTAGTATAAAGTTGGTCAGGCATGGCCAACTTTATACCAGGCCTGGCCAGTGGCCCGCTAAGCAATATTATATATCTATTAAAACTTTTGTTTCCCATTATGTGTATACCAAAACAATTAAATAAATGAAAATTTGCATGTATCATTGTTATAATTCACAAGTGCGAGTATGAACTCTTGTTATAACAATAAAATCTTATTCATTTTGTATTTGTTTTACATTTTTAAAAGCATGTTGCCTAAATTGTGGCCCACCGTAATGTTACACATGATCAAAGTGGCCCACAAAACAATTTGGGTTGCCAGGCCTACTTTATACCATCTTTAGTGTATTACTTGACTCTAGCCTTTATGGATTTTGTACCTTGAGATAATGGCTTGATAAAGTCAAGCAGGCACATATATTGGTATACACTTGTATTCAAAATTAAGAGAATTTGCACATTTTGTCTATTTTAACAAAAAGTAATGAACTTTTGGTTCATTACTTTTTGTTTGTACAAATTATGCTGTTGAATAAGAACGCAAATTTTTAGTGTTGAATATTTAAGCTTACTTGTGCATGTGGGCAGAGCTTTGACAGTAGAAGGCATGAAAAGCACATGTGGCTTTATCCTCAATTAATTTGCTCATACTCCTTGACAACATTTGTTGTTTTTCTTGCAATAGTTCATTCAATTTCATAAGCAATCAGGTAAAATGAGTAGCCATGAATGTCTTGATGGCGGAATGAGGTGGAGAATCAAACAGTAACCCTAAACAGAAGCCTCCAGCCATGAAGCATCCTGCTCACTTCAGCACACAAAACAGCACATGGTGCCAACAACATCAGCCTTGGATCAGACTTCAGTTCTCTTCACAGACAAGTCACAATTCAGCCTGGACATGGATTCTTGATGCATCTTCACCTGGAGACAACCTGAGACCCAATACCTTTCCTCCAACATCCAAGAAAGGGACTGCTATGGCAATGAAGGTGTCATGATCTGGGCAAGCATCATATTGGACGGCCGCACACCTCTTCGTGTGTTTGACAGAGCAGTGTTCCGCAACTGGTGTGCCCTCACTAGGTGAAAGGTGTGATGTAAACTTTTACGTATTCTATTCATTTCAAGTTTTATTTATATATTTTTATCACAGTTGCTGTGTTTCAAGTGCTTGTATTTCAAGTGTTATTTCATAAGTGCCACAACACTTACGAAATAAGATGATGTTTGTTTATTCTTATAAGCCATTCTTTTTTATGTATTTTAAGAAATTAAATGTAAAATAAATTTGCTCACAGGTGTTGATGTCTGTTTAATAGTAATAATAATATTAGGTTAGTAGCATTACGTAATTCTATTAATAGTATCACATCATACATTTTTGAGGGGAATAACATTTTGGTGTGCTGTGTTGAGACTTGTCGAGTCATGGGTGTGCCGCAAGTAGAAAATGGTTGCAGAACACTGTGACAGAGAATCCCTGACTGCTGAGAAGCGTAGGGATGAGATCTTACAGCTCTATGTTCAACTTTTCAGGAACACAGTTGGCCCTTGTTTCATTCACATAGGGCTCACCTGGTTGACATTTATCTTGAAAGTGAGGATATTTGCTGGATGGATTGACCTGCCAGATCTCCAGACCTAAACCCTATTGAACATGTCTGGGACACCCTTAGAAGGAAAAATGCAGTTTGCAATTCCCTTCTGAAAACTACCCAGGAGCTGAAAACTGTGTTGCTGCAGGAGTGGGACTGACTGCCACAGGGACTCATCAGCTGCCTCGTATCCAGTAAGATGTCACAATATGAAAGTTATATGACTGTGAGAAGGGATCATACCCATTATTAGAGTCATTTTATGTTTGATTTTGCAACGTAAGTTTTGGACATTCCTGTGCTGATGAGCCTTACTGACAATCATGACTGCATACCATGATTATTGTATATTATACTTTTTCTCTTATATAACTGTGTATCCACACCAAATTTCATTAAAATGTGGCCATTAGTTTTTCAGAAATTCAAAAAATGTGCAAATTCTCTTAATTTTGAACACCAGTGTAGTTATGCAAAATAACTTAGAAAATCTTAAACAGAAATATAATCCAAAAATAAACCAAAAATCCAAAAAAATAGTATAAATTATATTTATACTATTGCTACTCAGTCCAAGATTGTCTATGCTGCTTTAACTTAGTGATATATGTTGCCCTAATTTGGTGGTTGTCTAATATGTATAATAGTTTTAAGAATAAAAATGTGTGCTAATGAAGTTACATTTTAATATGAATGGTTTGTCTCACAATGAAGTTAAATAATAAAAATAAACAAAAACAAATAATTTTATATGTTATTGTTTTAAACTTTCTTTAAAAAGTCTGTTAGTTTTTTGTTTTGTAGTGGTTCCTTCCTCCTTTGTTGAAATGTTCTGCAATCACCTCAGCATCATTTTTTATGGGCAGTATATCTCAGATTAACCCCTCAATGGTCATGGAATAAAAGCCCACTTAATGCCCATAAGGTAGAAAAAGTTTGAAAAAGTTTAAAAAAGTAATTTGTTCAGTATCATCAATATTAAAGCACTTCAGTAGTAAAACACTCAGTGCATTCACAGCAAAGCTTTTATAAATTATAAAAAAAGTAGTGTTTTAACTCATAGATTTGTCTGATAATGCAGAACCTCAGTTAATTAGAACAGATGATTGGGATTCTACTGTTATGTCTAATGGAAAGAAATAGAAAATCCAGAAAACAGAAAAACAGAAAAATTTAGAATTTGTTTGATGAAATGCATGCAGATGCAACATCATCTTTAATATTGTTAGATAACATCGAGTCAAACTGAAAAAGAAACTAATAGCCTCTAAAGAGACCAGCCAACTTGAAAATTCCCAAGTTTCTAACCAAATTTAAAATATCTACCTTAGTATTTAAATTTACTATTTATTCTGTTGAAAAACTAAAATGACTTTTAGTTTGCAATATTAAAATTATACTTAAAATCTTAATGAATAAAAATATCTTTTAGAATATTTAAATTATTATTTCACTTACATAAGATAAAAATTAAAATAAGTATACAAGATAAATAATAAATTTAAGATAAATAATTTCATATTAAGTAAATCAATTCAAAATATTTACACACATTAAAAATTTATAAATAATCATTTATATATACAGTAGAGCGTCAATTATCCAAATCAATTGGGGACTGGGGTTGTTCAGAAAAATCGATATTTCGGATAACCGATTATGTACAAAAAAATATATTAACCTATCCCATGTTGAAATTTTTCTCCATTGCGTGTCACTTTGCGTTGATGTTAAGATTAACGTAAACTTTTTAAAATAATAATCATGACTATTGTATTGTTAAAAATTATTTCTTTATTTTGTACAAACAAAATAAATATATTGAAAAATATAAAAACAATAAAAAATTATACTTCAGAAGTTAATTTAGTATCAAAAACGTAAAATATTTGAGTAGTCCAAGACATAGCCAAAGATTGCAGCGCCACAGCACTGGCGAAAATTTAAATTTGCCGACTGGAATTCTTTCGGATAATTGACTTTCGGATAATCAATGCTCTACTATATAGTCATTCATTACCAAGTTTTTTAAGAAGATACTGTTGTTGTGCAAAAATTTCTTCTTCAGACATATTTGATAATTTTTCCAAATTTTCTTGATGAATCTGTAATGCTTCATCCTTATTTCTCAAACCTGTACCATCCATTACAGTTCCTATAAAAATAATAAAAATTTATTAATATATATGTATTTATTATGTTTATACATTAATATATACATTATATTTTATAAAGAACAAATTTTTCACACTTTAATAAAGTATATAAAATATTATAGTTTTGAATACAAATACCTATTTTATTTAACATCTTGAAATTCACATTAATCTAGATATTAAAGTAAACAATCATCATAATTACTGTATCATCATAACTCTTTTTCACTGATGGCCAGATAGTCAAGCTGTTAAGGTGTTAGCATACTGCTCTGGAGACTCAAAATTGAATCTGGATAGGTTGAAAACCTGAAGAAATTTTTCATGGGATTTGCCCATCTTGGATATTTTAGGCCTAGTCTCACAATACTGGGCAAAACCCATAATGTGCTTGATAAAAAGGCCCTCTTAGTGCCCACAGAGTAGAAAAAGTTTTAAAAAACCTCCATTTTATTAGAGAAAAATAGAAAAATCATCATTTTAAATATATGTAAACATTTAATATATTAGTCATAATGTTCCTAAAAGTTAAAAACAATTTATTTGATATAAAAAATCAATTACCGTATTAGCCTGAATATAACGCGACCACGAATTTAACGCGACTCCAAAATTTTCATAAAGATATTTAGAAAAAAAATAATACTCATAAAAGAATTCAAAGAAAGTAAAATTCAATCAGATAAGCATTTATTTATGTAATTACAGTAGAGCGTCGTTTATCCGAATCAATTGGGGACTGGGGTGGTTCGGATAACGAATCATGTACGAAAAAATATATTAATTTATCCCATGTTGAAATTTCTCTCCGTTGCGTGTCGCTTCGCGTTGAATTTTCGTCGATGTTAAGCCTAACGAAGACTATTGTATCGTTAAAAATTATTTTTTTATTTTGTACAAACAAAATAAATATATTGAAAAATATAAAAACAATAAAAAATTATACTTCAGATGTTAATTTAGTATCAAAAATGTAAAATATTTGAGTAACCCAAGAAATAGCCAAAGATTGCAGCACCACAGCACTAGCGAAAATTTAAATTTGCCGACTGGAATGCTTTCGGATAACAGACGTTTCGGATAACCAGCTTTCGGATAAACGACGCTCTACTCTATAGCTAATAACACAGGCAATCTCTGTATATGAAAATGTCCTTGTTTATATTACATTCTATTACTTAAACCCCGAATTTAGCGCGAGTCGATTTTTTAACGGAAAATAAATGGTCGAAAAATATCGCGTTATATTCGGGCTAATACGGTATATTTCAGATAAACAAACAAATCATTTAATAATAGCATTAAATTAGATATATATTACCTTCATACAAATTAGAAATATTTTTTAATTTCTGGGTTTTTGATTTCACTGACGAAGATTTATCTCTGTCCATTTGCATAGCAAATAAACTCTTCTTTTTTTTTCTTTCACAGATAAGCTTTAAAAAATTAAAAAGAAAACATAGTAATTTTAGATATAATAATTATGTAAAATTTAAATCTTTATTAATAAAAAGTCATTCAAAATTTTGATTTTTGAAAAATTCAACAAATGAAATTGTACAATAATTTTAATGTAACAAATTTCTATTTTATTATATATTAATATATTGTTATTAATAAAAATTAATCTAATTTCTATACTCTATAATTCTATATGTCATTTTCTTAACGTTATCAATTAAATCAAATTCATTAATATTTCATTCGGTCAAAAAATAATGAGACTGAACATTTGAACACTACAAGAATGTTGATTTTTGGAAACAGAACACTCATAAATGATTTTCTGAGATATTTGTTATTTCTGCATAAGGTGACAACTCCTTGTTAGGCATGACACACTTGCACCGTAGTCAGTCAAAATGGTTGATGTGCAGGTGGAAAAGTTCAAACTCTTGTAGTGCAGCATAATCCAACTTATGACGTTAGCAAAAATGCAACCAAAATTTATTGTCACATACAACATGTGTACTGACCAACTTGCATGTCATGTGCAAGGCTGTTCGAATGGGTGAGAAAGTTCCATTCTGCATAAGTTTCCAAGACTGATCCATTCCATCTAATAGACCTTATAGCATCATTACCAACAATGGCATTATGCAAGTTCATGCTGTCATTCAAGGGTATCATTCAATCACTGTAGATGAAGTGACAGACAATCTGGATATCAGCCACAAATCTACACATGCCATATTTCATGACAAACTGGGATACAGGAAGATGTGTTCCAAGTAGTTCCAAGGTGCCCAAGACATTAACAGATACCCAAAAACATTGTCAAATGGGTATCTGTTTGGAGCAATTGATATTACCATCAGGAAGGAAAGAACTTCTTCTTGAATCACATTATTGCAGTTTATAAGATAATGTGCAGTCATCTATTAGACAGGACAAAGTGATGCTCAATGGAATGGAAACATCTCTAATCACCATGAAAACAGAAATCTAACTGTATTGTCAATTACAATTTAAAGTGTTTGCTGATGTTCCTCTTTGATCATTAAAGACTTCTGCTAATATACTTCATGGAAAAAGATGAAAGGGTGACTCTGAATGCTATTCTGACATCCTGAAGACAGATATGAGATGTGCCATAAAGAATAAGAGGTCTGGAGATGTTTACCCAAAGCATTGTTTAGATTCAGGACATGCATGCTCTCGTATGGCTGTTACAACAATGGACATATTGCAAGATTATGATGGAAGATTATTCAGCATCCTCCATATAGTCCAGATTTGATGCCATTCAACTTTTGTGTGTTTGCAAAAATGAAAATGGCATTGGAAGGTCAAATGTTCAAGATGGATGATGAGGTCAAGCAGGCCATCTGTAAGTGATTCAAAGAACAGTAATAGCACTTCCTCAACTGAGCCATAAAAAGTTTAGTGAAGAAATGGAATACTTGTTTGAATAATTCTGGAGATTATTGAATATAAACTTAAAATATTTTGAAATAAACACATTTGTCTCATTATTTTTTTGACTGAATCAGTTAATACAAAAGTTGATTGATAATTAAAATCTCAAATTCAACTGTCTACTTTAATAAAGTCTCAATTTATATAAAATTAATTTGAAAAGAAAGAATAATGCAACAAGTTTAAAAAGCAGTAATATTCATTTATTTTGATCATACATATTCAGTTCTCAAAATAATCACCATTTAGAGTAAAACATTTTTTCAAACGCTCAATCTATTTATACATTCTGTCCATGGAAAAACATTCCAGTTTTTCTTTTATCCATTAATACAGCAGCTTGAATTTCATAATTTGATAAAAAGCATTGACCTTTTAACACCTTTAATTCTTGGTCAACCAGAAGTCTGAGAGTACCAGATATTGGTTGTAAGGAAGGTGAGAATAACCTGCAACTTCAGATTCTTAAGCATATTTGCTGTTTCCTTACTGCTTGTATTATCATAGCGCAAGAAAAAAATGGTGCGTTTTGGCTTTATTCTGCAAATATGACTCTTGTGTGCTCAAGTTCTCATAAAGTTTCATAACTGTTCATCAAATTAATTCTCTCTTGCTTTACTAGATACTGTGTGTAATCAATTTCCTTTCATCTTAGTAAATTGTCAGCACTATCTTCTAAGGAGGAGAAACAGTTTTGAACTTTCTAACAAGTAGAGAATAAAAGTGACAATACTGTATTGACTTAAACCAGTGTTTCTCAACGGGGCGATATCACCCCCATGTGGGCGTTTTTCCGTGTTGAGGGAGCAATTAGTAACTATTTATATTTTGGGGGTGCAAAAAACAATTTTCCAGGCAATATATTAAAACATTATATTAAGAATAATTAGATATTTTATTCGTTATATCGTACAATAATTAAACAAATAACACTATACTAGTCACTAGTCTGTTCAATACAGTATGAATTTGGAGTTAGCCTTGGCCCTGGGCATCGGAATTTTGAAATGAAGGGGGAGCAATACTATGGTTTTATTGAAGGGGGCGATACTATGTTGAAGGGAGTGACGATTCGTTAGAGGTTGAGAAATACTGACTTAAACAAACATCATCACTAAAACTCAATACATTATAAAACTACAAGCCAACCAATGTTGTTTCTCTTATGAGTAAATTCATTCTATATATGTTTGTCCACCACAGCACGTTACTGGACAGTGGAATATAAACTGTTCACATTATGTTACAAGCTATATACTAATGCGACCAATAAGAAAACATGAATTAAAATGAAAAACTTTAATAAAAAGTACTTATCAAGTAAAATAATTAACTTTTCCAAACATTGTTTATTGAATACTTTCTTCTTTATTATTACTTATCTAATTTGTTTATATATTTAATTATTTATATAATAATAAAGAAATATAATTTCTTTAGTTTTTGATTATAGAAACATTTGTTTTCTTTATCGAATGCCATTGATATCTTGTCACTACCCATCATTAGTGCTGAGCACTAATGGTGATTGGAATCTTGTCACTACCCATCATTAGTGCTCAGCACTAGAAATTTTCATACCCAGCTACTTGTGGTCTGCAGACCCATAGGCCCACAAATGTGTTGATGGGGATTTTTGAATTCTAGAAAAAAATCCAGCAGTAAGTAGCATTACTTTCCTGGCTATTATGAGATTTTATTTAGAAAATAATTTTTATAATTTTACAAATAAAAACATCAACTGAAACCCAATGCATAGCAAACAGACACCCACAATTGCTGTAAATAATCAGGCTATATTTTGGAAATAATAATTATAAATTACAACTAAATTTGGCACTAGAGGGAGGAGTTAGGTGCCATCTCGTATACAAGATGGCACCTAATGCCTCCCTCTAGTGCCTATTATTTCCAAAATATAGCCTGATTATTTACAGCAATTGTGGGTGTCTATTTTTGATAATTTTAATTACAATGTAACTTAATAAAATTGTGTATGGCACCATCTGTTATGAAATTTTGTTATAAAAAACTTTTTGTACTTTTAATTACTATAAAATAGCAAAAAATTTAATTTCGAAGGTAGGAATGAATTTTATAAAAATAGTAAAAATGTTAATAATGNTTAATTACAATGTAACTTAATAAAATTGTGTATGGCACCATCTGTTATGAAATTTTGTTATAAAAAACTTTTTGTACTTTTAATTACTATAAAATAGCAAAAAATTTAATTTCGAAGGTAGGAATGAATTTTATAAAAATAGTAAAAATGTTAATAATGAATAAAATCATTGTTAAGTCTGACCCTGCTGAAGACACACATGATCCCCTTTATCTCCCCACTCCCTCAACCTTTAATCACCAAAATTTAATAGCACCAATGGCTCTCATATACAAGCCACCACATCAAATTTTGTTACTGAATCTTTACCCCACCCTGAAATATTAAGCAAAATAGACACCAAAACAAACAAACAAACAAACACACACACACATTTATGGAATTTTTTGTTGTTTTTTTGAATTTTTGGATTCAGGATTCAAAACATGCAGATTTGCAAAAAACTCAAAGGGTCAAATATGACATGATTCCAATACTTTTCCTTGTTATGTATACATAACAGTTGGAAAAGTGAAAAGCACATTATATCATGAAACAGAAAAATTCTTGTAATACAGTAGAGCAGGGGTGGCCAAAACGTGGCGCATGCGCCAAACTTGGCGCATTGGACGATTACAATTGGCGCTTCAGTCAGTTCTGAGCAACATTGCCAGATTTGGCTTCTTTGCAATTATGAATATTACATAGAAAATTAATTTTTTATAGTCTGTCTTGGCAAGTTCATTTGTTGCACAATTTGTTGCAATCAACTTTACAGATAAAATGAGTGTTCTCCACATAGTAAATTACAGTGTATGCATGTATGTTTATTTTCGATCAGTTTACAGGTGTCTAAATGACAGTGCTAACGTCCCACGATAGTGCTACCGTCCGGACTGTCCGGGAATCGGAATCGGATTAGACTACTAACTTCTTTTCCCGAGTAGTTCCTGCGACACCTGTTGACCTTTTGTTTTTGTTTTTTTTTGCCTGTATGGTACACGATACATTCGTGTTCATGTACACCACTAATATCTTAAAGAACTATTTTATACGGGTAACTACACTACAACCGCATTTTTCATTGCTTGTTCTGTGGCAAAACTGAATTTTCGTCTTATAAATTGAAATACCTAATTAAGGGGTGGCCGAAATTTTTCTCCGCCCCGNACCAGGGGTGGCCAACCTTTTGCATACCATGCGCCAATTTTTTGATAGACGAGTTCAGATGCGCAGTGGCATACCATGAGTGTTAGCCGCCCGGGTTGGAGAAAAATTTCGGCCTCCCCTTAATTAGGTACAGTCGACCCCCGTATAAGATCATTGATTATTCCGTTTTATATGAATTCCATGTTGTACAAGTCACTTAAATTTTACAAATACGTGAGCCGTTCACAGCCCGGTACACGTATTTGTAAAATCTAAGTGACTCGTACAACATGGAATTCATATAAAACGGAATAATCAATGATCTTATACGGGGGTCGACTGTACCTAATTAAGGGGAGGCCGAAATTTTTCTCCAACCCGGGCGGCTAACACTCATGGTATGCCACTGCGCATCTGAACTCGTCTATCAAAAAATTGGCGCATGGTATGCAAAAGGTTGGCCACCCCTGCAGTAGAGCATCGATTATCCGACTCAATTGGGGACTCAGGTTGGTCGGATAACTGAAAAAATCGGATAACCGAAAAGAAGGAAAAAAATACATTATTAGCATAGTATATTAGGATATTAGTATATCCCATGTAATTAGTTTATTAGTGTATCGCTATTAACCAACTTCGCGTTGAATTTTCATCGATGTTTAGCCTAACAAATTTTTTTTTAATTAATAATCGTCGCTATTGTATCGTTAAAAATTATTTTTTAATTATTTTATTGCTCATGAAACAAACAACCACTCATAATTAGAAAATTAAGCCTCATTTAAATATAGGTCTCCTTCAATGGTCGAGCCATTAATGCCAGCTAAAGTATGCAAAAATTTAACAAAAGTAATATTAAAGTAGCCAAGACATAGCCAAATATTGTAATGCCATATCTCTAGGCGGACATTTGAAATTTGCCGACTAGAATGATTGGTTAACCGATGTGACGGTTAATCAGGGGTTGGATAATCGATGCTCTACTGTATTTACCTTTATTAAAAACAGCCACTAAAGTTTAATTATAAAATATGAAATCATTTAAATTGTATTTCAGTATTTAACACTTTTCTGTCACCATTATTTTTTCAAACTTTATATTATTAATTCCAAATAATTTCTTGTATTTATATATTTGTATCATTTATTAATTGTAATCTATTCTGTATTTATTATTCTAGCTCATAATAAGCACTGCAAGTTCTGCAGTACTTATCATGGGAATGGGACACTGCTTCAAAGAAAAGTAAAATTACAAAATAATCTCTAGATTTTTATTACATAGTAATAATATAAATTATTATACATGATTAAAATTAAGTTTTATCGAAACCAGTGTCGACCATAATAGTATACAAAGTAAAAAGAATTCAATTAAGGCAGTTTTGGTCCACACACTCTTCCTCAACAGCAATATTAAACAGTTCAATGCCCTTTTCCAACACAAAGCAATCTCCCACTCAAGAGCTCAATCCTGCTCATTCAGTCAACATATCTCATTATATAATAAAATGCTTGAAACGGCACTGCAATGTTTAGCAGTGCATGTTTCAAGCTGTTGCAGGACACATGGCAAGAATTAGTTACCACAGATTAAATAATCTGTATTAGTTACTAGGTCAGAACATAGCACTCCATGACCTATAAACATTAATATGAAAAAGACAAAAATTCTAAAATTTAAATTTGTTTTAATTAAATTTTTAAAAATATACTTTAAGAAGTATATATATATATAATTCTTAAATTATATTTTAAAAAATATTATATTTGTTTAATAACCAAATATCAACTCAGCTTTACAAATACTTAATGAACTATCAACACACCTGTTGCTGAGAAGTGTTAACTGTTAACACTAATGTTTTCAACCTAATAGAATAAATCATCTTCAGTGTAACTGAATTTGAACATATTTTTATATAAAATGTATGTTTTTAATTTATTTTGAATATTAAATTTTTAAAAAATATTATAACTACACACACACACAAAATAATGTTATATAATATATATTATAAATAATATATAGCAAGCACTCTTAAAAATACAGTATATGAAATAACCATTAACAATGCTGCTAAAATTAAGCTTCAAAGATATACCTTTAAAAAGCAACACCAAAAATGTTAATCCAAATATTTCTTACTGCTTAAAGGTATTGTTTCTTTGATCCTCAAAATATATTTTAAGTTCAATTAAAATGTATTCACTTTACTTAACCTAACAAACTATTTGTATACAAATATATAGTTTATTATGTAAAGTATAGTTGTTGCTCAATCCCCCATATTAGACAGTTACAAAATAATTAATATAACTTAACTTTTATACTTTTCACATGTAATTTTATATTAAAATATAATTAAAATAAATTTACCCTAATTTATATATTATCATATCATAACTTATATTAATATAATATAATTTAATAATTAATAAAATTTAATTAAAACAAGTAAAGTGGCAAGGTCATTTTTGGGATGAGACTATGTCTCGGAGACTTGGCTCGACTGCACACCATTTTCTAAGGAAAAGAGAAAAATGAGCACTAACCAATGAGGAAAAGCCGATACCAGTACTCAGGGTTCTGGCGTAGATTACGGCAGGCTTTGTTGCTGCCATGGTTACGATGGATTGCGTTGTCACGGGCCTGTTCTTGGCTATGGTAAGTGGGAAGATATTTGTATTCATATTGTCCTGATGTTGCTCTCATCATTTTGCAGGATGGCAAATGAGAGCAAGAGAATACACATGTTATGTGTGTCAACATGTTTGTCAAAATTTGATTTCGCAATGTTTGCATTTCAAACTTTCCAATGCATGCATTTCTCAAAATTTGATTTTGCAATATTTGCATTTCGAAATTCCCAACAAGCAACACATGCACAAATCTCACACTAGTGTCTGTTTGTAGAAACAGTGTCACCATCTTGTATTTTATTTTGACTCGGTTCTCAGTCCCCTGACTACCTACAAGTCTGGTTTTTAATGTGCAAATGATTTGGGCACCAAATACTCTGTGCCAAATTGCAACTCCTGACATGTACTCCTTCATACCTCTAAGGTGTCCAGCTGGTGACAGCAGTGTGATTTTATAGACAAGACATAGTCTTGTCAATAAATTTATTCTAATTCATATATTATCATAACTTATATTAATAGATTTTGTTAATGCATCATTCATTTTTATTCATGTATAATTATTATTTGTTATTATTCTATACTGATTATTCTTCATTTGACTATTTCAAACTAACATGCATGTTCCATTTAAGTTAATTTAAAAAGTATTCATATTCCATTTTTCCAAAATTTGTATTGCATATGCTGTCCATTAATTAACATATCAGAGCTGAAGATAACTTCAAATCAAGTCAAAAGTGTTTCTAAAATAAAGTTTTTGGTTTCCTAAATCAGCCGTCATATCAATTTCATTGGCCTGCAATTTGAAAAAATTGTAGACCTATAAATTCCCCCTGTCATCTGTCTGTCCATCTGTCTTTCCTTAATCTCAAGAACATAATTAGATAAATGAAAGCTGAGATTAGATACAGAAAAATTAGGGACAAGAGGCCCCAATTAACTATATTCAAACATCCAGTGCAAACCAGAAATCACATTATTTCAATTGAAAAATTTTCTCCTGAAAGGCATTAGATAGATGACTAGTACGACTCTATTTCTAATGGGAAAGTGTGATGTACAAGAGTAAGACATTACTAATTTGAGGTGGAGAGCATATAATAATAAAAAATTATTAAAATTATTATTAAAAATTGCAGCCCAGCATTGTGACAATGTCACAATAAATAATTGCTCGTTATATTTATTATTATATCAATTCTTAACTGTCAGAAACATCAATGAAAACATAACAGTAATTAAAATTGCTAAATGTTTTATTTTTTTAGTTTTAAGATCTTAGCATAAAGATTAAAAAAAATGTTAAAAATATACTCACTTTTTTATCATATATGAATGTCTTAGGAAAAGATACAGAAACAGAAGATGGTGGTGTTGCAACTAACTTGCTAACATCATGTTCCTAATATAAAATATATTAATTTTTTGTACAATAAATCAATTAAATAATGAAATCCATATATTAATGTATATATATATATATATAATTTCTTAGTATTTTATGTATCTTACATGACAAGACAACCAAATGACTGACTGTCTTTTAAATATTTCATGATTAAAATAAATGTTTATGTAAAATTAAACTATATATAATAGTCAAAAATCCTTGATCATAAGCAGTTTTCAAAAGATATTGATATTCCTTGATCTAATCAAGTGATTGAATTAGAGATAAGAAGGTTAAATGATACAAATAACTGCCCACATTAAGCAATCTAAGAAAAATATTTTGGATAAGAATGCACCAGGAACATTTACAACTTCAATTTTAGAAACCACCATTTTGTTCTCTCTTCCCTGAACCTGTTACCAGTGTGTAACGCATATAAGATATATACAGCAGGTGACAAACGTTTTTGAACTATCTCGCAGTTCTTCCTCAGGTCAATTAGCTTAGGAATGCTTCTAAACGGAGCGTTTGGAATTCGACGGGATCAAATGTTTGACATTGCTTGACATGCGCAGTCGTGAGCTGGTGGAGGTAGCCACGAGTCGGCATCTAATAGGGACTGCCAGGCTACAGACAGATTTAGCTCCTCCTTCCAGTTGACGCACATGGCTACTTGGCCGACTTTATAAATGGCTATGGATTCTAGCCATTTAAGGTGGTCTTGGTGGGGTGTGCTGACGATGACTGTAGCTCTATCAAACTCTGATATCAACCTCTGAATCAGACACATATACAGCATACGTATCCGTATAAGGGAACACCGAGTGGATATCCAACATGGGTGGATCACCACTGCACTTGCTGCATATGCGTCCGATCTGGAGGTCGAAGCGCAGTTTGATAGAGCTACAGTCATCGTCAGCACACCCCACCAGGACCACGTTAAATGGCTAGAATCCATAGCCATTTATAAAGCCGGCCAAGTAGCCAGGTGCTTCAACTGGAAGGAGGAGCTAAATCTGTCGCTGGCCTGGCAGTCCCTATTAGATGCCGACCCGTGGCTACCTCCACCAGCTCATGACTGTGCATGTCAAGCAAAACTGACTTTGTTGAAGTGACATTTTATCCCGTTGAATTCCACATGCTCCGTTCAGAAGCATTCCTAAGCTAGTTGACCCGAGAAAGAACTGCGAGATAGTTCAAAAACGTTTGTCACCCACTCTTCTATGTGTTACATACTGGTAACAGGTTCAGGGAAGTGAGGATTTTACTCCAGTGCTGAAGTTAGAGTGAACTTTGTGATTAGCCATTTTGTTGTAAATGAATTGGTCACAAAGTCTGGCAAAAGAAAAAATACTCATTTAACTTTATTAACATACCCTTAATTAAACACTTAGTGCTAGGGCTGGACTGGAAATCAAAATCAGCCCAAAAAATTACTTGAAAATGTCTTACAAACTCATTTTTTCAAAACAATTATAATCAAATTTTGTTATCGTATTTTTTCTACTAATTTTGTCTAAGAATTAAAATTATAAAAATGCATTTGAATTCCATTCACTCTATTTTATAATTATTTTTATTTAATTTCACAAATATACTGGTCTATAAAAAATTAAAATAAATATTAAAAAAATGGTCTGCAAACACAAGATTTCAGAAGCATTATAACAGATCATCTTGGTTTATAAGAGTATGTTCTTCCTACAAATTGAGAAATATCAAATTGTTATTTTATCATAAAATATTACTTTTTAAAAAAATTACTTTTCATGGAACAAATTTTTCATGATATGCAAACCAATAAATACTAATTTATTATCAATTAATCTCATTACTGAATCATCATCATAACTTCAAATAACAGCGATCTACAATTAACCAGTAACCGGTGTGAAATTCTTTAAAAGTCAGCGAACGTTTTCGATTCCCCTCCTGGGATCTTCTTCAGGCTTATTTTTATGCCTTCCATTATAACTGGATTCTTTAATTTGAATGTTTTTAAAAATTTGAATTAAAGAATCCAGTCATAATGGAAGATATAAAAATAAGTCTGAAGAAGATCCCAGGAAGGAAATCAAAAACGTTGGCTGATTTTTAAAGAATTTCACGCCGGTTACTGGTTAATTGTAGATTGCTGTTATTTGAAGTATATACAACCCAGTGTGGTGAGAAAGTACATCATCATAACTGATATCAGTTAATATGAAGCATCAGTAAATTAAATCTACATGGCTAGCCCCAATTAAACCTAGCTGGGGCAAGCCTGATCCTCAATAGGATAAGCCAGTATGAGTGAAGGTTTTCTAAATTATATTAATTGCAAAAACTAAGCATGATATGCCATATAATTTTCCATCACTTTTTAGTTAAGTTAATTGTAACAATGTCATGTCTGATTAGTGATGAACTCAAAATCACATTATATAACCCCTGATATTTGATTGCTCTTTACAATATTTGTGTCTAAACAGATATAACAAGTTAATATAAAAATGTTATTTTTCATTGATACTTAAACATATATTTAATATATTTGTTTTCATATATAATATTTATTATCTATTTACAATTTATTAATTTTTAAAACAAACCATTATATCAGCTAGAACTTCCACTGCTTCCATATCATGATCTGAAACAAATAAAAACATGTATGATATATTAGGCCTACTTGAAAGTTAAGTTATACTAACTACTTTTCAAAGACCAAGCTGAGAAAATAGTTCATCTAATGAACAAGTACTTTTGAGCCAGTCAAGCTCATCTTCTAGATCCACCCAATTGCAATTTTTGCTTTTGAATAAATGTCCAATGAATTCAATGTTCTATACATTTTCAAAATTTTTGTTCTACTTTTCATTTTCTTTTTCTTAAAAATATTCTAAACTATTATACAGATGAATTTTTCATAGTATACTCTCTCAATCTTTTCAGCCACTCTGATGATAGTTTCCCCTTCAATAAGCTTGCATCCCTCCAAATAATTTCCTTTCTTCAGTCAAATTTTTGCCATTTCTGCTAAGATTGTTGTCATTTTGTCTTTCATACAATCATCTAAATGCTCCTTGAATCTGGTGTTCAAGGTTCTTGTTGCTTAAATGTTTACTTTTTCCATTTTTCTCTATTGGTACTATATTAGCTAATATATACTCCCAACTTTTCCATTTCATCTCATTTCTAATGCAATCAAAAAGGTATGATTTCTTTCAAATACTATTGTTTTTTACATTCCTTTCTCTAAGGTTTTGTAGAAATTGGAGGGAGCTTCATGACTCCATATAATGTAAAGGGATTTTTTTTCTATCTACTGTCTTCGTTACATACTGCATTTTTCACATTTAAAACTACATTTTCTCAGTCCTTACCAATGAATTCATGGTCCTATGCCAGATTATTTTTAAAGAACTGTAACTTGGCTTTAAAAATCTCCCATTTAGAAGACAACCAAAACACTTATTATGAGAATTTCAAAAACTGTCTTCTTGTATTTATCCAAAAATATGTTCAAAAATAACCACAACTGAAAAATTAAATCAATTAAAAAAACACATACCTTATCAAACTTCAGAAAAATTTTATTAAACAAAAGATTTTTAATCCCTTTAATGGATCTGTTTTAGTTGCTTACAGCATATAAAAAGAGAAAACACATTTGAATATCTACAAATAGAATGCTCCAAGAGTCAAACAGAATGTAAATTGATTTAAAGTACCCTCTAAGTATCACTTTGCATTCCCTACTTTAGAGACCACAGCATTAGAAGATGAACTGTGTTCTCAGGTTGGTCTCTGAAAAGTAGTTAATATAACTTTCAAGTTCATATGAAGATTGATTAAGTTAAGAATGTAATTATTGATTATATTTAGAAAAATTAGCAACAAATAAATTAGTGATTTTAAAGATTTGTTAAATAATTTCTGATTCATAATAAAAATCCGAAACTTTGAAAATAAAAGATATACAGTAATACCCCAACTTACGTGAACCTGGAGTTACATGATTTTCAAATCTCGTCGATTCGTCTTTTGTTTGAGCATCACGCAACTCTTGATTATTCACTCCCCCTACACTATTGTTCAGCTTACATGTTCGGATGTGTCACGCGGAATTGACACATAGCTACAATTTATTTTGTGTTATTTATTTCTGTGTTTGTTACATCTACGGAGACTTGAGAGACTCTATGTGGTGATTTCTTGTAACTGTGAACAAATCGAAAGACGAGATAAGATTAACGAGAACATTTATTAGCTTACGTGAATTCGACTTGGATTTTACACAAAAGGCATCTGCAATCGTGAACAATTGACGAAATAGTATACATTTATCAGATAATAAACAAAGACTCATTTTGTAAACAATTTACCTTTTGTATATACAACTGACAAGATTACCTTTCAAATTATAAACAGACTCGATCCCAAGCGGTCTTTTGATTGTCAGACATACAAAAGAAATGAATAGATGGCGCCTAACTTAAGCGCGGTTTACAATAACGAATATGATTAATCTTAACACTCTATTATGTCATCCAAACGAAGTAGAACTGATTCTTCTGCATCAAACAAGAAAAGAAAAACTTTATCTTTGGAACGTAAGGTTGACATTGTTAGAGACTTCGATACAAAAATGAAAATTTGTGAATTGGCAAAGAAGTTTGATCTACCGAAATCGACGGTCAGAACAATTATAAAAGGTAAAGAAAAAATTCTCGAAGCTGTGAAAAATGCTCAATCTTTAAATTCAAGCATCATTCATAAATGTCACGTTATTATCGCTGAGATGGAAACAATGTTAAAATTATGGTATGATAATCAAGTAAATGTGAAAAATTGTCCTGTTGATCAGAACACGGTATACTCTCAAGCTAAGCTGATTTTTGAGAGATTGAAAGAGGATGCTGGAGAGGTGGCTAAAGATGAAGAGTTTAAAACTAGTAACGGTTGGTTCAACCAATTCAAAAGTCGCTGTAATTGGCATAGCATTGCAGAAAGTGGAGAGGCGGCAAGTGCTGATAAAGAGGCTTCGTCTTACTATCCAGAGAAATTCAAAGCTATGATAGATGAAGGTGGCTATACCAGCCAAACCATATTCAACGTAGATGAGACTGGCATGTTCTGGAAGAAGATGCCTAAAAGAACTTTTATCGCGCGTGAAGAGAAAACCTTTCCAGGTTTTAAGGCCGCCAAAGATCGAGTGACAGTGATGGCTGGCGTGAATGCAGCTGGTGATTGTAAGTTAAAACCTCTCTTAGTTTATCGCTCGGAAAATCCAAGAGCATTGAAAAATAAATCTAAAGCTGGCTTGCCTGTGATTTGGAAGTCGAATCGTAAGGCTTGGGTGACAGCTTCCCTTTTTGAGGACTGGTTTGGTCATCACTTGTTAGTGATGACCAAACCAGTCCTCAAAAAGGTTTGGTCATCACTTGTTAGTGATGACCAAACCAGTTGAATGTTATTGCCAATCTGAATGTTATTGCCAATCTAAATGAATTCCATTTAAAGTGATGCTAACAATTGACAATGCACCAGGTCATCCCCCTGCAACTTTAACTAATTTTGACCCACGTGTGAAAGTTGTATTTTTGCCACCAAATACAACCAGCTTGCTTCAACTGATGAATCAGGGAGTCATCAAAACATTCAAAGCTTATTACACGAGACAATCGTTTGTATATCTGCACGAAGCTATGAGACAAAACAATGAGCTCTCTGTTAAAGACTTTTGGAAACAATTCAATGTTTTAGATGCAGTGAGAATCATTGGACAATCTTGGAATGAAGTTTCACAAAAACTTTAAATGGCATCTGGAAAAAACTCTGTCCTTTTTTTTCACCACTGAAATTCAGGCGGAATCAGTGCCAGAGCCTGATGAAATTGGTAATGTGATTAAAGAAGTTGTCGATCTTGCCAGGCAAATAAATTTAGAAGTGGATAGTGATGACATTCAAGAACTGCTGGATTCCCACAATCAGGAACTGACAATTGATGAGCTCATAGAAATGTGTGAGCAAGAGCAAGACATTGAAGAACTTGATTCTTTAGATCCAGTTCAATCAGAAGATCGAATGACGGTTGGAAAATTGACAGAAGGCCTCAGTTTAATTGAAAAGGGGTTACAAATTTTAGAAAATATAGACTCCAACGAAGAGCGCATTTCTTCTACAAAACGAGAAATAAAAAAATTATTAGCGTGCTATGAGGAAATTTTGCGGGAGGAAAAAAATCTTTGAGCCGTCAGACAAATTTGTTAGATTTTATGAAACCTTCTACATCAAAATAACTTAAGTTTACGATTTTAATAATATAATTTGTTATATGTATGTATTATCTAAGATTTTATTAAACATTTTTTTCTAAATTATTATTTTCTTTAGTCTCCAACCCCAATTAAAAATTATTTGTATGTATTTATATGCAAAATTATACCCCAACTTACGCGAATTTGACTTACGCGGTCCCACCTATCGCGTAAGTTCAGGGTATGACTGTACATAAGTTCAGTACCTCTTTTCAATATAATATCAATATATAATAAGAATTCAAATTCAGAAAAAACACTAAAAAATGATTAACATAACAAACATAAGACTGATTAATATTAATATTGATGAAGCATAACACATCTATGCTTGGCCCATACAAAATCTGACAGAACCGAGCACTGCTAAAATCTTAGTTCTAAATTATGCCGCTATGGCAAACAGCATCAATCATGGAAACCAGATTTTGTTTTGAGTTGTAGGTACTGTACATGTGGTGGTCTCTTTGTTTCAGTTTGGTGTTCAGTGTTTGTTAAAATGGAATGCTCTATATGCCATTTAAAGTATAAATATAAACAAAGTTTAAGGAAACATATGAGAGAAAAACATAAGAAAAATTTTAGCAAAGATAAAGTTTTAAAAATATTTAAATGTAGTTTGTGTCTGAATGAATTTCAGAAAAAAAAAAATATTGTCACATTTTGGCAAGGTACATGACATTTTTATTACTAATAATATTCAGACATATAATTCATTTAGTGCTTTTAAGGAATGGAAACAGAAATATGAAGTGGAAAATACTATTATGTATATTATAATAAGTGGTTCAGAAAGGAACATTAAGCTTAATAGCTCTATATATTATAACTGTCATGGATCTGGTTATTTCAAAAGTAAGGGAAAAGATATTTGTCATTTAAAAATACAAGGAAGCAAAAAGATTGATGGATTCTGTTCATCCCAAATGAAGGTAAAGATAAAAGATGATGAGAAGTCTGTTGTTATATTCACTCTGCAACATGTAGCCCATCAAAATGAACTGTGTCACACAGTTTTGTCATCGGAGGACAAAAATTTATTATCAAAAATTTTGGAAAATTGAGGAAACCTTCCAATGCTATAATAGACGAAATCAGAGACAGCCAACCAGAAAGCATCTACATAATATTGAGAGTAGTTTCCAATTGTCAGCAAATTCTGTAAGACATCCAAATAATTCAATAAGTGTAGATGCCTGGGTGAATGAAATGAGAGATGGCAGTGATGATTGTGTGTTGTTTTATAAACCACAAGGTATGAAATGTGAAGAATATCTTCATTTAACAGAATCTGACTTTGCTTTAGCTATTATGAATGATGATCAGGCTT